AAAAAACGAACCTAGGTTTCAAGGTAGTGTGAGAGGCAATGTCCCTGGAAGAATACTTTTGGGACGGACCGAAAATTCGAGTTCCCCCTTGTTCATCTCCTCCTTTGGCAGGTGCCCATGTGGGTCTCGCTGCGGTCGTCATATTGCAACCCTAGATCGCTGAAAATTCAATGTTATTCTGCAGTTAATACAAAATCAATTAGAATACTCAATATCCGAAGAAATATAGGCTTCTTTTGCGTAAAAACATTAAAAAGAAATTCGATAATATGGAAATAGATTAGGGTTTCGACTACCTTCGGCTTCCCTATTATTTACTTCAGAGAGACAATTGAGAAGCAAAGTAGACTCAAACTCTGAGTTAACCAATTTTAACACTGTCGGTTTAACGAATAAACGACACCGTTCTATTGTCGGTATTGGGCTCTCGATTTTTCATTTAAATTGTGGGCTGGATTCTCATTTTTGACATTGGTGTAGGCAAGCTATATTAGGAAAATGATTCAAATAGCACAAAAATAGGAAAAGTTGTGAAATCTAGCACTTTTTTAATTTGTAAATTAAAATTTAAAAGTCGGTTTAGTTAAAAAATAATGATAATAATAAAAATAAAAAATCACGTGCTAAGCACGCTGGACTGATAAGCATTTTTAATCATCTTCTTCCTTTCTTCTGTTCTCTCCCTTCCTCATTTTTTCGTCCTCCCGGTATCCCACGCCCTGTTCCCTACTCTGCTATTCTGTGCAATTCCAGGTACAATCAAGATTCGAGAATTCAATTGTTCTTCTGTTAAGATTTTTTTTTTACTGTTTTTGTGTTTATTTCTCTAGCCTTCAGAATTAATTATTCAGGCCGATTTTACCCCAAATTTTGGTCATTTGAATTGAGAAATAGGTCAATTTGGTTCGGGTTAATGGAGTACTTTGAGTTTATGATGTGATAGTTTAGATAAAACTTGTGTTTGTTTTTCATAATTATTTGGAAGATTTTGAATTAGGACAATGATAAATTTCGTGCTCTACTAATGCAGTCAAATTATCTGCAATCGTACTTTTATTTTGCCAATCTAACTAGATGAAATGGGGTCTTAGTTAGACATATGCAGGATATGTTAAACCACCTAAGTTCTTGCTTTCTAATTTATACATTCCATCTAGTTAGATTGGCAAAATACCATAAACACCACGCGAACCATGTTCATTGGCTAGTAATTTTTTGGATACGTTGAATTGTAGGAAAGAAAATGGAAAAATGACAGCTTATGTGATTGAAAGCTTTGTATTAGGACATAGTACTAATTTTATGGAATTCTTTTTTTAGATTTGACTGGTTTAAAGGAGCTTTTAGTTTGCATCAGACATAAATCAACTTTTCATGAGCAAAAAATTGTTTATATAAATTTCTAGTCGTATAACAGTTGACATTGACAATGCACTCCCTCTCATGAGCAAAAAATGTTTTTATTATTAGAAACATGCCCTCTGTTTCATTAAAAAGAAAATGTAATTGTTCTTCGATGACATGAAATTCTAGTAAATATGCAACATCTACACTTGGTTTACCAACTTAGAGCTTCATCATTACTGATCTTTTTGTTTGTATTGAAAATGTAATAAAAGCATTTTTCCATCTTTCTCTTGATCAAAATTATGTTCTGTTGTCAGGGGGTATAAGTAATTTGGGCGAGATGTCATTAAGTACTAGTGCTACTGTTGGTCCGGCTACAGCGTTATCTGTTGGTATGTGGATTTTAATCTTCCATTCTTTTAGTATTCGAGATGAGTATACGCAATACATATGTTGATATACGTGTATTTTGATTAATTTGAGAAAAATTTATTTGGGCTTTGGTATCATGTTGTGTTGTGCATGATTCAGTTTATCGCTATTTTTTTTTTAAAGTGAAATGGCACTAAATTTTATTTAAATTGTTGGTACATAAAGCATGTGATGTTTTCGATTTGTATCTCTGTGGAAGTCCGTGCAAGGGACACAGTTTACTTTTTGTTGGATAGATGTTGGTGCAACTATATGGCAATTTTAAGTGCAGAACTTGAAGTTATTAGTTGAATGCTATTCATGGTGGTGGGAATAGACAAACTTGTCATTTGCTTCGCAAGTAGTTATGCCTTTACATGATCATTCAGAAGGGTGAAATGTAATGCAAGCATGATGTTTTATCCTTCGTTCTGCATCCAAGTATACAAGAACATCGAGATTGTGAAATTAGCAATCTGAGAATGCACATTGCTTGATGTTTTATCGTCATTGATATTCCTCTTGACATCTTTATTTTTTTATTTTTTATTTTTTTGTCGTTGTTGTGAGAGGTGATACAGTGGCATGTTTTAGTATTTATTTGTACTGGACACTAAAATAGATTGGTTTTGTTACCACAGTGAGATTGAAAGATCAATGTCTGAAGGAAATCAAACATGTTGGATCTGGCCCAGTTGGGATGAAGCCACTTCGCTTGCAGTTTCATCCCTTCGAAAGAAGAAGAACCAGAATGCAAGCTTTTCGAGTGCAGCTTGCTTCTATAACATGTTCTTCTGCTTTGGTAATTTATCATACTTTTGTATTAAGATAATACTTTAACTTGCAAATTGCAATGTGCAATTGATTGGTATCATGTGTGAGAGGGATTGTCTGTCCTACTTGACAAATGGCATTGTATCTTTAGTAATCCTTTAACTGGCAGTAAAGATTGAAATTTATTCTTTTCTGAGCATGTTTGGCTAGGCTTCTAAGTTACTAGTAAATAATCAAACTTTGAAATATTAATTTTATTGATCAAAACTGCAAATAAGTAACTAATTATTTTCGGAGTGAAGCGAGTTCTGGCAAATAATTATGTCTCTTAAGTTGCTTTGGCATTATTGTTTCGGTCTCCCTTTCTGGCAAGCAGTGATAAAATTACCTACGCAAATTACTGCACAGTTGCCTCATGAACATGAAATGATATGTGGAATCATTGTCTGGTTCCAAAAATTACCTGACATTCTGAAAGTACGAGAAATTTTTTTATTTTTTGAATTTCCATCTTCTGAATTTTGGCTGATCAAAAGTACCCAAGTTCTGATTGGCTGTTTCTTATGACAGAACGCAACTTGTGCTGCAGAGCAAACCCAAACAGTTACACGGCAATCATCAACCATTACTGTTGCACCTATTCAAGGTATAATTATCTTCTTCCAATAGTTTTGGATTTGTCAGCTGTTTATGCACTATTGCAGTGTCTGGCTCACTCTCATGGTCATTCTTCAATAAATTTATGTTCTGTTTCATCTCAAATCCTTCTCCAGATATATGGAGAGAAAAACTTGATCATGTTATTAGTTTATTCTATTGCATATTTCTCAATTCGAACCTTATTTGGACAAGAAACCGGCTCTTGTGCAAATTTTGGTACATCACCTGTTTACATGGATTTCAGGAAAGGAAAAATCTCCAGAACTCGATGATGGTGGGACAGGATTTCCACCTCGTGATGATGGTGATGGTGGGGGTGGTGGCGGTGGCGGCGGCGGCCATTGGTCAGGCGGGTTCTTCTTTTTTGGCTTTCTTGCTTTCCTTGGATTCTTAAAGGATCAAGAGAGTGAAGGACCTTACCGGGATGAAAGGAGGAGATGAGAAACTAATATAAATCTATTACCGTCATGTTGCCTGTACCTCTTTTTCTGAATTATTTGGCTACTTTTGTGATATGAAACCCTATTGGATATGGATGAGTTGATTGGATAATATATTTAAATCTGCATGAAGTTGCATCTTAGCTCCAGACTCCGAGAGCAAAGATTTCGAGTGTTCAGTTCAAAGGAATATGATAAAAATATTCCCGTGCTAAAAATTTCGGTAATTTCTGTTACTTGACTTTGTTACATCACTGAAATCCGCGAAGCCTCCATGTAAGCACCAACGTGGCAGCGAAGTCCATGTAAGCTCTCAATAATTTGTCATGCAATTATGTGCGTTCTTCGCTCTCTCGCTTGTATCCGACCTACTAGTCCTTATTTCACAACAGTAGTATCATCCATGGCATGCCTCTTGATGGAGGCCTCGTCCACCGGTTGAATCCCTAGTGCCCAAATGTTAGAGCCGAAGCATTTGGGGTTCGTCAGACAAAAGCATGTGGGACATTCAAATTCAGATTTTTGTATAACCGTGGCATTTGAATCCAGGTTCTCGAGAGCATTTGATAAGGAAATTTCCTTATCAGGTCTCTACAATCAACACGTAATCATTGAAGATCAAGAAAAATCTTGGAGAATCAATTTCCAAATGAAACAAATTCTTCCAAAGGAATTTATGAGATCTAACGAACCAATGGTAGCTAGACGTGGAAGTAAGGCTGCAAAACCATGACCTGATTCTATAAGGATTTTTCCCCTATCAAAAGGCAGCGGATGTGAAGGGACGCACTCTTTAAACTCTTTGATCATAAGACTATATATCAATTCTTTTAATGCGAAGTAATCTTGGTGCCTTACGATATTTGCCTGAGTGTGCATGAAACATACAAGTAGACATGCCCATGGCACGAGATCTTTTGACGGAGGTCAACGGACTTCGTTGGGAAAATTTAAGGAACGACGATTTTAACTTCTTATCACAAAAAAGTACTGGGTAATGCTATCGTGATGAAAATTTTCAACATGCAAGTCTTATTGCAGCAAAATAGGGTTAAGATAGCTGAAACTATAGCTGCACCAAGGGATCAAACCTTTGGAATGAAGTTCTAAGAGTAATATTCGTCAAAGTATCGTTTAAAATGATGATGACATTTAGAAATAATGTAGTTTGATCATACTGAGGTAAACATCTAAAAACATTGAATCAAAATGCACATCTTCAACAAGATCTACATGTTTAAGAAAATTATCTCGACTTTCGAAGCACACCATTCAAACTATTAACTCTTGAAATACCAGCTATTAGATTTGAAGTATCCATACTTCGGAAAAAAAAAAAAAAGGCATCTAATTTTGTAAAATATCTTAAACCAAACCTAAACTCCGAAAGTAACAGCACTCAATCAGAAAACCAGCTTTAGATTTAGTCGACTTCCTCCATCTTGCTACCCTCAGTATCAGCATCCTCCAAAGGTGGCATGTCAACATCAGCTTCACCAGCATCTTCGTCAATGCTCAGACCAAGTTTCAGCATTCTGTGAATCCTATTGCCAAAAGTGTTGGGGTCATCAAGGCTGAACCCAGAGGTGAGAAGAGCAGTCTCGAACAGCAACATAACCAAGTCCTTCACAGACTTGTCGTTCTTGTCAGCATCGGCTCTTTTCCTGAGCTCATCCATGATGGGGTTCTCGGGATTGATTTCCATTGTCTTCTTGCTGGACATGTATCCGGCCATGCTTGAGTCCCTTAGAGCTTGTGCCTTCATAATCCTCTCCATATTGGCAGTCCAGCCATACTCTCCTGTCACCAAACAGCATGGAGAGTCGACCACTCTATCGGATACTACCACCTTCTCGACCTTATCTCCGAGGACATCCTTGATTACCTTGCACAGACCCTCGAATTGCTTCTTCAATTCTTCCTTCTTATTTTTCTCATCATCACTTTCATCAAGCTTGAGACCTTCCTTAGTAGCAGAAACAAGTTTTTTACCCTCGAATTCTTTCAACTGGCCAACAGCATACTCGTCAATAGCATCAACCATATAAAGGACTTCATAGCCTTTCTTCTTCAGCTTCTCTAGGAAAGGAGAGTTCTCAACGGCCTTCTTGCTCTCACCAGTGATGTAGTAGATATCATTCTGTCCTTCCTTCATCCTGGTCACGTAGTCCTTCAAGCTGGTCATCTCATCCCCACTCTTGGTAGAGTGATACCTGAGCAATTCAGCTATCTTAGTCTTGTTCTGGGAATCCTCGTGGATACCAAGTTTAAGGTTCTTTGAGAAAGCTTCATAGAACTTGTCATAGTCTTCCTTGTTCTCAGCAATCTCAAAGAAGAGTTCAATGCACTTTTTCACCAAATTCTTGCGGATAACCTTCAAGATCTTGTTCTGTTGCAGCATCTCACGAGAGATGTTGAGTGGCAAGTCCTCAGAGTCCACAATACCCTTCACAAAGCCCAAATATTCGGGGATCAACTCTTCACAATTGTCCATGATGAAGACACGACGAACATAAAGCTTAATGTTGTTAGGCTTCTTCCTGGTGTCAAACAGATCAAAAGGTGCCCTCTTAGGAACAAACAGGATGGCTTTGAACTCAAGTTGTCCTTCAACTGAAAAGTGCTTCACAGCTAAGTGTTCCTCCCAGTCATTAGTAAGACTCTTGTAGAAAGCAGAATACTCCTCCTTAGTGATCTCCTCGGGCTTCCTCATCCAAATAGGCTTCTGCTTGTTAATTAAATTCCACTCATGAGAAACTTCCTTGATCTTCTTTTTCTTCTTCTCGGCTTTCTCTTTCTCTTCATCAACTTCCTCAACCTTCCCTTCCTCATCTTTCTTGTCTTCCTCATCCTTCTTGTCTTCCTCATCCTCGTCATCTGAGATTTCCTTCTCTGTAGTCTTCTCAACCCAAAGAGAGATTGGATAGCTAATAAACTCAGAGTGCTTCTTCACTAAATCCTTCAGCCTACGCTCCTCAAGATATTCAAGTTGGTCCTCCTTCAAGTAGAGAGTAATCTTGGTACCCCTGCCAAGGTTTTCACCAGATGTATCTCTGGTAACAGTGAATGAACCACCAGCCTGAGACTCCCAGACATATTGCTCATCATCGTTATGCTTGGTGGTGACAATAACCTTCTCAGCAACCAAGTAAGCTGAGTAGAAACCAACCCCAAACTGCCCAATCATGCTGACATCAGCACCAGCGGCAAGGGCTTCCATGAATTCCTTGGTTCCTGACCTTGCAATGGTACCAAGATTATTCACCAAATCTGCAATTCAGAACCAAACAATTAAATATAGAGAATCATAATGAATCCAGACAAGTGAAACAACCGCAATAAAACTGACACTTACCAGCTTTGGTCATACCAATCCCGCTGTCAATAATTGTCAGTGTGTTATTGGTCTTATCAGGGATAATGTGGATGAAGAGTTCTGGTTGAGCATCTAGTTTGCTCTTGTCAGTCAGACTTTCAAAACGGATCTTGTCTAGAGCCTGTTCCACATCAAACAAATATAGTTAGCAAATCAAACAAAATTTCAGATGATATAGCACTTTTAAGGAAATATTATAACTATATTTCAAGTCCCATCAATCAAATTCTGAAAGGTCGAAGAGAAAAAGTTAATGAAACAAGCAGCACTTTAGGGGAATATTGCAAGTAGATTTCAAGCAACTCATCAATCAAATTCTGAAAGGTTGAAAAGAAAAAGTAAATGAAAGAAGTAATTCTAAATTCTAAGTTATAATGAATAGCAATTCCTCATTTGGCATACTGTAGATCAGCTTTAATGATTAATCTTGTTTGAACAAGGGAACTAGTTCATAAAAATAGCTGTTATAAATCTGCACAATTAACGAATAATTACCCAATTCACACAATAATCGCATTTGTACACATCAGAATACGAAATAAGTTTATTCATTCATAAGCAAAACATTTAGCAATTAGTTCCAAAACCAGTATCTTATAAATTGAGCTAAGATTATAAGTAGATCAAAAGCGATTTTAAACAACAAACAATGTCATGTAACTCTTCTATCTGCAATTTTATTCTTTCAACGATTAAACAATTTCCAGACTGCTAGACACGTCTTCGAAATTTAAAATCATCTTCGAAACTCAAAATATACAAAATCGAAAAGCTACTAAACAAACAAATCCACACTGCAAGTATTAGTTCGTAAACAAATTTCATACACAAATCATAATATAACTAGTATAATTCATAATTAAACCAGAAATAAAAAGCAGATCAGAACACTGTGTAACCAATAATTAAAAATAAAAAAATCAACAGAACTAAAATAGATCTATTATAAATACAATAATCATATAATAGAGAAACATAATAAAAGGATTTACATCAGAGGAGTTACTGATGAGTTCACGAAGAAAGATCTCCTTGTTGCTGTAGAAAGTATTGATGATCAGACTCAAAAGCTGGTTGATCTCAGCCTGAAAAGCAAACGTCTCTGTATCCGCCATTGCTCAAAGCTCTACGAATACAACTTTCTCTCTCTAAAAATTCAGTATCTACACAGAAGAAAGATAAAGAGAACACGAAATGTAAACTAGAGGCGTATAACTTGGATGTATAATTTGGATGAGGTTGCAGAGATTATATAGTAGGTTTCTATACGGTTTCTAGATTCTTCTGTTGGACAACGACGCAACGAAATTTTCCTTATTTTTCTCTAAATAATTCGGGTCATTGACTAACGGGTCGGATCAACTAAAGCATTCCCCCTCATTCCATCGAATTCAAAATAACTGATTAATTACCAAGTCGGGCAGCTAATGATGCGATTCATCCTTCAAAATAACTGATTAATTAAATACAGGCCAGTAAATAGAATGGACAGTTGCACTGTTAGTCACCAATCTATGATATATTTGCAAGTTAGTCTCCGACATTCAAAATCAGAGCAAAATGTCATCTTTTGAAATAGGTGCGCACAAACAATCCTCGCGAAAGTTTCTATTCAAAAATCTGATAAAATAACAAAATTTTGACATAAAGAGATTTCTACCTTTAGTTTAAGAAGTAGAAAAGGAAAATAAAAAATTAGAAGGTATCAATCGTCACTAACAACTACTTTTTCAAGCATCCGATGTTACCTAAAAACAAAGTAACAATGTACATACGTAAGGTGTCATACATTTAAAATTAACCTAAGTATCAATAAAATTTGAATCAATGTTGGGTGTGAGATCAATGGTGTCAAAATGGATGGACAACTTAAGATCGAGGTAGCTCAACGCATTGAAAAATCAAATCGAAACTAATCTTATCCTCTTCATATCGGCTCACGGATTGGTCCATAAATAATGGCAAGTCGTGCTATGTTCGATTTTCAGCCCAACGACCCACTAGGGCTATCCTAGTTGGCTTGATTTCTTTAAAAAGTCGATTTATTCCTGGTAAATTCTACTTATTAAGTGATTTATTTCATGAGCTAATTAATAATGTAGTTTGCAATTGTATCATTTGAGTACTTAGTTTTTTGTTTCAATAATAAATTAGTATAACTTACATTGAATTTTCAGGAGTATATATAAAAAAAAAATACGGATGGAATTATCCAACCCGGTCAAGCTAGCTCGCGATATTAGGTCCGTTTTACAAGTTTGAAAGGTATATCGAACTATACCTAGTCCATATTTTTAGATGGGTAAATTCATACTCGTTACAAACAGTAACTGTAAATCGATTTACGCCAATTCACCAATTTTGACATTCCCTTTATCACAGTTGACAACCTTAGTAATTCAGGCATAGTTGAGACCGCGAATGTGGTCGTCGCCCCAACATTTTTTATTTCGTTATATTTGTCTTATTTTTATTTTTTTAAATTAAAATTATATTATAAAATAAAATAATATTTTAAAAATAAATGATTAAATAAAGATGAGCTTTTAGGAAGCGTCGGCAACGACGTGAAAAGGGCAGGGGAAGGGTGGTGGCGTTGGGGTGGGAGTGATAGTGGTGACAATGAGTAGTTTGGGGTTGGTTGGGAAGATGATTTCTTTTTTATATATATGTTTTTAATTATTTTAAGTGAGAATATTTATTCGAGACTTTGAATGTAATTATTTTTCATTTGTAGAGAAGGGTAAATTCGTCATTTTGCAAAACTCAAATGAAGAAAGTGAACTTTTAAGTATATTTCGCAATATTCTAAAATGTATTCATATACTTTGTGCTCGGGGTGTTTTTGGAACACCTCGCATGTAGGTATGCGTGTGATAATGCAGTCAATCGATTTGTTGATCACATATACATGCTGAAATATCAAAATGCGCACGTATTTTGTATTAAAAATTGTGTCAAATAAATTGGCCCAACAAACATCAAATTAGACCAAATCATCCAAGCTTATAAATTATATGTACATGTAAGGTTTTGACGTTAGAAAAATTTAAAATTAAAACAAATTTGTCGAAGAATTGCAAATTATTTACGATGATATATCACAATCTACAAGATATAATAAAAAAATTTCAAGTTAAAATTAGTGAATCCGATGAAAATGATTTCGCATCGAATAACACGGAGAATGACTTGAATGAAGAAAAAAGGTTGAATTGAAATTCGAGAAAAAGTTAAGACAATAATTAGACTTTTTTAAAAAACGATTTTCGTGTCTAATCTAATTGTAGGAATTAATCATCAAATAATTGTAGTATTTATGATTTGGAATATGCTACTTGTACATAATATCGTGTCCATAACGGTATCCACCCCCTCACATGGAGGGGGATCCACTTTGGATATATTATATTTTATTTGAAATGGGTCCCCCTCCATGTGAGAGGGTGGACACCGTTTTGGACACCCCATTATGTACGTGTAGCATTACCCTTATGATTTTGAGTAATATATTTTTGTTGAAAATTTGAAGAATGTGTGTAAAGTTCAAAGAATTCATTATTTTATTTATTTAAAGTTTAGAACATCTTATACAATATTAAAAATTGAAAAATGCATTATTATGCGTATACTACAAACGCAATTTAACATTCTTCTCCGAGAGATTTTGAGACCTTTTGAGTTGGAATTCAATGCCAGTCTATTATCATATTATGCATCAGAGTTTGTATCTTAATTTTCTCTTGAGAAAGTCTTTATTTTTATCTTCTTTCAACCACTGAATCACATGCACAAAAATAGTGAAAAATTGCAAAAAGGGATACAAATAAATCATTCTAAGAGCCTAATGAACTGACTCGTTGAACTCACCTTTATTCGTCGATCGGAATCGGATTTGCAATATATTTGAGAAAGAGAGGAGGGTGGGAAGGGTATAAGCTATTTGAAATTGGAATGGGGAGAATATTTTTTCCTTTTTTGGTTTTTCAATTTAAGAAAGAAAAAACAGAAATTTTAGGCGGGCCACTGACCACCATTGCCCATACGTGCCTCCGGCCCTTTACCCACTTCTAGGTTTTTTTGGTTATGGATCGCACTCCAGTCCGAGTGACGTGCTGGTTCCGCAAGTCCACATAGTCGGATCCGTTAATGGGTATTGGGTGGGCCCAATTTTATCCGTTCATCTCATTCGCTTCTCTTCTCCCGCTATCTGCAACTGTCTCCACAGAAAATGGAAGCTCCTGCTTTTCGAACGTGTATACAGTTACCGGATCTCTTCGGGTTTAGAAGGTAAACCCATTTCCGCCATCTTCCAGCGGCTTGAAAATTCGCATTCCCCCTTTTTTTTTTCTCATTTTTTTCGTATTTTTTTTTCTGGGTATATCAATAGCTTCGCAGCTTTTTGGTAATAACATGTCGATTTCATAACAGTGTATTTTTATTGATTATTGCTCATTGATTTACTATTTGAACTTTATTATTATATTATGTACTGGACTATTCGCAATTGATCTGTGCAGCCTGTATGAAAACTTAAATATATGGAATTCACAATCAACTCGTGAATATCAAAAAATATGCATTAGAAACTCTCGTTTCACAAGGAATATCGTGAATTTGCACTACTAAAATCTGGCATTTGAACCAGAGGGTTAATCAAGATTCAGCGAAAATTTGTATCTTTTTGTGGGTTGTGTTAATCACTTCATTTAGCCCCTAATTGACTTTCTTTAAATTAAAATTCTTTATTTCAGTACTCATTTTCAACCACATATTCACGCAATAAAATATTCCGCAAGTAAATCCAAAACTTTTTCTACTTTTTAACCACACGTTCTCCAAACAATCACTGTACCAAACATCATTTTCCCCCAATTTCTCTTTATAATGGCCATCAAACAGGGACTTGAAACGTTAAGCTATTATAGATGCCATATGTTCATATAAATCTTGTCTTTGACTCATCACCTTACCTGTAGGCCAGATTCAATTTTTAATCAAAGGTCTAACATGTGCACAAAGTTTTCATAAATGGGCAACCTCGAGAATTGAACCTAGTTTTAGCCTGGTTTTAAACCATGTTTACCGCCTTATCTTAAAAGCTTAAGTTATTAGAGATAGACAATATATATTTATTAAAATCATGTCTTAAACATGCTGCAATTTTTATTATCTCCGAGGCCAATCTAACTGTAATGACTGAGCCCTGTACATTAATTTGAGTAATCATTGTGTTTAGTGGGGTTTTCTTTTATAATCAGGCAAGAAATTTTGGTGGGTTGTGTATCTCTTGAATAAAATTTATTGCGTAAGTTTGAACTTCAAAAGCAAACATAAAGCATATTCATGAGACACTATGACAAATTGGCATCACTGGGCATGAATTTCTCATTCTTGGCGTTGTCAAAACCAACGAAAATTAGATATTTTATATGTAAAACGTAATCAAAGTTGGTGCAGAAAGAAGCAAATAATTTTTGGTGATATGTTGGTAGCAGACACCCATTACAGAAGGCATAACCTGACTTGTGACTTTTTCAAGACTACAGGGTCACAAACCAAAAGAATTTAAGGTTGCTGTGCATAAGAACTTGGAATACAAATTATCTTCTGTCATAGATAAAATGGAACCAAGAAGGTCAATTTTGCATCTGATAGGAGTTAATCTCATCTTCGCAAATGCGTGTGCTGTTCTAGCTGCACCAATGCAGGAGATGAGAGAACCAGACATGATAAGGTAAATGTTGCCACATTTTTTCTGCTTTTATATTGCTCATAGAAGAGCAACAAAATATGTAGAGGTTGTAGGTCTTGTACTAGGTACTCTCATTAGTTCTTATATTCTACAACTCTGGATTAAGCATCCAGGACTCTGAAGCTAGCAAGTGGAGTGAGAATACAAGGTAAATAATTCTTAAAAGTTGATGTCATAAATTTATTACATTTCATATTAAAGGATTAAAGATGTGCCATCCCATGTTCTAAATTGTCGTGTTCATTTATAATCTCTGATGTAAATTTCTGATTATTTGTTAAAGACATCCTTGAAGGGGAAGGAAAGGAAGCTCAAGAGGGAGATCTAGTAGAATTTAATTATGTATGTCGGCGATCAAATGGATACTTTGTTCATAGGTATGGTTTTATATTGTGCTTGAAAATTCTAAGGAATCAACATAACCTCGAATATACACTGTCCATTCTTTTGTCTATGGAATTTTATTGCAACTTCATGTATTGTTTTTTTTTCTACTAATCCGTCCTACATTACTTTTATTCTCTCGCTAATAGATCATGCATATAATCTATACACGTCTTACGTTTCATGCAGCACTGTGGATCAATTTAGCGGAGAAAGTGCTCCAGTTGTACTTCCTCTGGATGACAGGCAGGTTAGCAAGATCACTCCTCATATGGTGTGGAGTATAAAGAACTTGGGGGGCAGAACTGGTTTTAGCATGTTTGGCTAAGCTTAAAAAGTTTACCTTTGAGTAAATTTTACTCATCTTCCAGTCGGTGTCATTGTTTAATATTATTGTCATTCCCAATAAAATAAAAAATATGTAAGTTGAGAAACTGGGTAGAAAGGAACCGCTAATACAACCTTGTAATTATCAATGTGAAAATACATATTAGATCATTCATTTGTTATCGATTTATTTACAAGTTATTTAGTGTCTTGCCTGCTTACAATCTTCTTATGGATTTGACAGATGATAAAAGGTCTGAAGGATGTATTGATAGGAATGAAAGCTGGAGGTTAGTATCTTCGTTGAATAACTGAACTTTAAGCCAGATTTCACTTCGTCGCTAGACTTAAAGTGATATTTCACTTCGGTCACTAAACTTCAATTTGTGAAGCACTTTTCTACAGCTAGCATTTAAAATAATAATCTAATGATTTTTCAAGCCCGTGTCAGCTATTCCACCTGGCACCTGAATATCAAATTTTAGTTAGTATATTTAACTGAGAAGTTGGAACAAAAGAAGTTAGCTGACCAAAGTGAAACTTCACTATACATTTGATAAGTAAGATTGGTTTTTACCCACAATATATCAATCACTTGAACTTCTATGGACATTCTTCAGGGAAGAGAAGAGCACTGGTACCTCCTTCTGTAGGATATATTAGCGAAAATTTGCAACCAATTCCTGAAGAGGTCTCCATCTAATTTTCCTGTTCCAACTTCAATATAATTCTTCTCTCCTATGTTTTCTTCTTCTTTAAACGATATATATCTGGTTTTCTTAAAGCAGTTTACATTCAATAATTCATGTTTGCTTGCGTTTTGTTCGACACTTTAAGTCTACCTTTGCCATTAATCTGAAATGTAGCCTATGTTTTTTATATTTGGTTGCAGTTTGGTCCTCGACGTAGCCTTTTGTCCCATGCAAAGGAGCCTTTAGTTTTTGAAGTCCAGCTCTTGAAAGTATTATGAGTTTGTTTGTTTGATATTCGAATATTTCTTGAAAAAATGTGTAGCTCAAAAGAAAAAAGAACAAAAATGAAGATGAAAATTGTTCCCTCCTGTTAGCTTGTCAAATTCAATTTTGGTGATTGAAGTGAGCATGCCAGCAATTAATTTGTTTTCTGCATCGAAAGATTGTCGGATGCAAATTTGTGCATTGATAAATTCATTATATAAGCTCTTTGTTGTTAGTTTTTAAAATTTTGAGACTGGTCAGCCTATATATTTGTTTTTAAAATATTTCAAGGGATTCACGAATACTCTATTTATTCATCGTTCATTTATATTTATTTATAATTTAAATTGTTTAAAAATACTTTGTGGCCTTCATTCAAAGAAAGCATTTTGTTACCAAAACTTACCTCGCCCCTCTTTGGTCTGGATTTAAATCTGATTTTAATCAAAATCAAAGTCAAACAATCAAAATTGAAAAATAATGTATAGCATACAAAATTCTGACAAATCCATTGAAGTGAAACAAAGGTGTACAATTTCTCCACTTGTATTACAAATCAAACTTGAATCATTATTCCAGCCTCCATTACATATCTAGATCCTCCCAACAGCCTCCTCCCAATAATATAGGCAAAATTACTGTTGGGGTCTCTAACCTATTCAAAGTACAATAAATAATATCCCCCAACTCAGTTTCAAAATATAGTAAACAATGAGGATGCATCAGGAAGGGTACTCAGACTCTAACTTCTTTAGTACAAAAGCAACAACATTCCAACTGAATCCCCGATATTGAAGCCATCGAACAATTCTTGATTTTCGAGTCTCTAGAGGCACATCACGACTTCGTAACCATTGCTTTGAGGCCTGATCAAATAGCCGATCGATAGATGCCTGAGACATACCAATTCTTGAATCTTGATCTCGACCAGATTCACCACCCTCGAAAACTAGTTTTATTGCCTTCTGTGCGACTATTTCATTTACTCCCTTCTTCAGTAAGGCCTAGTCGAAAGATAACAACCCAATCAATAATTCTATGGTAAAATGGCTTAAACAAAGATAAATCAGTGACACAATCATGCAATAGCCAGTTCCATGACGTAACTTTAACTCAAATAGCGATAAACTTGAAATAAAATATGGGAAAAATCAGAGATCTAAGCTTACTCTGATCCTAAAACTTGGTTGTTTTGAGTTCCTTCTAGAGGACGACAAATAGTGAAAAATGGGACTTGAAATTCTAGAATTTCAAAGAAAGATGGCACGAAATACACACAACAGACAAATGCACAATTGAATTGTGGCAATTTCCGCGTGGCAATAAAGTGTAAACGTACATTTTTTTCTCGACAAGAAAATTTTCCTAATAACTTGCTATTAGATACACTCATTTATGCAGTTCATGGAGTAACAAAGAGGAAAATTTACTTGCTTAATTCGTCGAGGACCCCAGGTAGAGGAAGACCATCTGGATCGAGAAAATGTTTCCGCATATAAACAGTCATCTAACAGACCCCTACAGCAAATCACAACCATCAAAAACTTTCCACAAACATGCAAATAGGTACAAAACAATTTTTGGAGAGTAAAAGTTTCTTGATAAAAGGCCCAAAAAGAAGCATTATTTAGAAAGTGAACCAAGTTTCTTGAAGGCGATTGGCAATTTTCATTCTACCTGCTCTGGAAGTCTGTAACAACTGAATCAACACTATCAACTGGAAGTCTCTTTCCTATGAGTTTTTTCTTCATCTCCATAGCTGTAAATGCTCTGCACAGTGCAAAACCATGCTTCAGACACATCCTTCTGCTACAAAGAAAGTATAACTAAAGTTCGAAGATATATGTGCAAGTCTGTTAACTGTTGTGACTTAACTTTCGACAGAGAAGATTCAAAAAGTACCAAACTGTTCAGAAATATATGAGGATAAGTGAGATCTAGGTTGGGATATCAAAAGTTATCCATCCGACTATTATGCAAATTATGCTGGATGACCATAGCGATTGGATTGATTATTGAATTCAGGTTTTCTTCACAAGTTGGCCTCCAACCTAAGCTACTTAATAGAATTTGTCATATTCTGCCAGATTCATAAGATTTTAATATTATTTTTTGGGATGACAATGTATTCATTTAAAAAATCAACAAAGAGAACAAATCATAGTACTGTCAAAAGACTGATTAAGCATTATTCTAACCTCGTTGCAAGTAATTCAATTGCCAACTTTTCCACTTCTTGTTTACTTTTACCAGCTTGAATCTCATTAATTTTTTTGCCAGGATCCTTCCCATGAATAACTTTGCGTTCCTCAGCAACCTCCAGAGGTTCTTCCATCAATTCACAGTCCAAATCTCCAAAATTGCCCTCAATTTCTTCTTCATCCTCTAATATTTCCCAACTAATTATAAGTATATTACTCAATTAATTGCATAAAATATCAAATGATGGTTTCATAAATAAAAAGGGTACCGAGTTCAACACCATAATGCATGTTTCCAATAGGCCTCCGGTCATGACCCAGAGCCTTAGGATTCAAAACAAAGTTCCGGTGCAAATTGTTGGAAAACTCAACTCTCTGCACATTCAGCTCTGAACCTCTATCAAGCTTTTCTCTGTGCTCCAAATGCTTCACCGGCAAAGAAGTAGCATTGGAATCTTCGCATTTTGAAGATTTCTTGGGAATGTACCTCACCGGAACTGAAGCATTGTAGTCTCTGCCATTTGAACAGTTTAAGCTGCTGTTTCTTTTGACCCTGAAAATAAAATCTTTATACTAAAAATAATAGTGAATTTTTCTTTAAAAATTATATGTATTGTTGTGTTTGAATGCGTTGGAGGGGAAAAACAAGAAATATAAATGAAAAAAAATAATGATAAAAAAAATTAAAGAAACTAACCAAGGAATCAGAAATACTCGGTAATATATTGCAGTTTTGCAGATGAAATTTCCGGGAAAAATCGCCATTTTAGTATCGGGATTTAGGGGAGATCACAGAACCGAACGAGGGGTAAAATTGTAGATGGCTAGGGTTTTGAATTTCGAATCCGATGGCTTTGTTACGTACATTTCACGCGCTCATTCTTTTTTCGCGCGGGTTTGAGTTTCACTTTTTTCTTTATTGCATTAAAATCACATTATAATTTAAGTGCATGGCAAAGTTTAAAATTCAATTAAAATTAAAAATACAATCGTTATTAGGTCTCACTCGTCTAATAAAAATCAACAATAACGACTAAATTTTCAATTTTAATCCGATTTTAATCTTTACCGAACACATCCTAAAAGTCGAAATCGAACTTTAATAAAATATTCGTATGACCCAGAAATATTATTCATTTGTGCCCCCTTATTTCTATCGCATCATAATTTCAGCAACTTATAATGCAATACAAACAAGTACAGCCGCTACATCAATTATTTTATCGATTTTTATCTAGTCTCTAATGATATGATTCTGTGTGATAATCGAAATTGTATCTCAAATCGATAATATAAGGCTTAATGCTTAGGTTTATAATCATGTTGGGGCACCTTTCCCTTACAAGTCGATTTGTGGTTATTACAATTGAACATCGACTAGATAGTATTACGATCCTCACACCTCACTTTTAAAAGTTAGTTATTGAAATGAGGAGGGAGAAGAGACGTAGGTAGTTATCCAACTTGATTATATATTATCTTTACAGATATACTAATTTTAGAAAACTTGTTTATCCCAAATATGAATCCAAGGACAATGGTTTCAAAATAAGAGGAAGAAACATCCTGCAATTCTACTTTAACGAGGGGTAAAATTGTAGATGGCTAGGGTTTTGAATTTCGAATCCGATGGCTTTGTTACGTACATTTCACGCGCTCATTCTTTTTTCGCGCGGGTTTGAGTTTCACTTTTTTTCTTTATTGCATTAAAATCACATTATAATTTAAGAGCATGTTTGGCAAAGCTTAAAATTCAATTAAAATTAAAAATACAATCGTTATTAGGTCTCACTCGTCTAATAAAAATCAATAATAACGGCTAAATTTTCAATTTTAATTCGATTTTAATCTTTACCGAACACATCCTAAAAGTCGAAGTTGAACTTTAATAAAATATTCGTATGACCCAGAAATATTATTCATTTGTGCCCCCTTATTTCTATCGCATCATAATTTCAGCAACTTATAATGCAATCCAAACAAGTACAGCAGCTACATCAATTATTTTATCGATTTTTATCTAGTCTCTAATGATATGATTCTGTGTGATAATCGAAATTGTATCTCAAATCGATAATATAAGGTTTAATGCTTAGGTTTATAATCATGTTGGGGCACCTTTCCCTTACAAGTCGATTTGTGGTTATTACAATTGAACATCGACTAGATAGTATTACGATCCTCACACCTCACTTTTAAAAGTTAGTTTTGAAATGAGGAGGGAGAAGAGAGGTAGGTAGTTATCCAACTTGATTATATATTATCTTTACAGATATACTAATTTTAGAAAACTTGTTTATCCCAAATATGAATCCAAGGACAATGGTTTCAAAATAAGAGGAAGAAACATCCTGCAATTCTACTTGGTTTCTTGAGAGACCAGACATGTCTGGCTCTTTCCAGAGCTAGGTTTTTTTCCTTATCTTGTAATGAGATTTGGGGTTTAAATTTGATCTGAAATTAGAACCCTAATCTGCTAAATTGAAATTTGATTAAAAATATATTTACTCAATTGGGTTCTCAGGAATTATGTTTGAGGTGAGAAAACAAAAGGGGAAACGAAGGATGATGCGCTGTTTTTCATGTTATATGTCGGAAGAGAAAAAACCAGAAAAATCATTGAAGAAGAGCATTCAAGAATACGAGGATACAAGAGCTTTCGCCTCATTTACTAACATTTCCTTGAAAACAGGTTAAGATCTCAGTTTTTATCCTGACCCTTTTCGGGGTTTGAATTTCTGCCGTTGGCTATGAATGAATAGGTGAAAATAGCGACTCAAATTTGTTGTTTATTTTGTTAAGGTTATCTACATCGAATGAAGTTCATTTTGCATTTTCGTTTTATGAATTGTCATCTTTCCATCCCTTCTCATGACTGCTTTCCATTGTGCTTTGTATCAATCATGTTTTGCAAGAAAATAGAGCTACATCCTTACAAATATCCCCACTCCTCGACCCACAGATCAACCTAATATTCCTACTACATTGAGAGACCGGTTCTTGTGAGTGAGAGGCGTGAGAACACCTTGTACTCTTCTTCTTTTCTTTATAGTGAAAAAACGTATCACCAAAATGGACGTAGTTTTTAAATGTGTGCGTGCTTCACTTGTTTTCTGGTTTTATTTTGTTGTTTACTGCTCTGGTAAGTAGGGATTAAGGTTTGATTTGTAACAAGAGGTGCACAGACTTGAATGATTATTATTCAATGTGCAGAGAGCAGCAGGAAAAGATATATAGCTGAAGAAATAGAGAAATACAGAAAGGGAAACATTGCTGCTCAGATTTTCACATTTAATGAGCTATCCGTTGCAACTCAAAAATTCAATCCCAAAAATTTGATAGGTGAAGGCGGGTTTGGGAGGGTATATAAAGGCCACATTGAAACAAATGACATAGTAATTTCTTCTCCTTCAACATCATTAGTCTCCCTTTCTTAGCAAAAACAATTTCAGCTGAATTTTTAAATTGCCGTCTCTTTTTCTCTTACTGGTTACTTTATGCAGGACATTGCAGTCAAGAAACTTGACAGGAATGGTTTCCAAGGAAATAGAGAATTCCTCACGGAAATTTTGATATTGAGTCTTCTTCATCACCCTAATCTTGTTAAATTAGTAGGATATTGTGCTGATGGCGAGCAGAGAGTTTTAGTCTACGAGTATATGCAAAATGGTTCACTGGAGGATCGCCTCCTAGGTATGTGAGGTTCCTGTTTGTTAGTTATGTGTAGTCTGTAGATTGCTTATGATTGAGTGAAAATTTTCCGGCATGCTTCTTGGAAGAGTATCATCTGAGAGTCCTGGCCAATGTACTGAGAAAATATACGAGCTTTACTGAACTCTTACACGTTGTCAGCCATGGACGAACGTGTTTGGTGCACTAGCAATCAACACTTAACCATAATGTCAAAAACGTTAAGAGTTCACTTTAAATCCATACTTTTGCATTCAACGCTGCATCGCACGAGATAAATTTTAACTTTTTTTTCTTCTTTAATGGTATTCAATGCGGTCTAATTCAGTTAACCAAACATCCCATAAATGTTCTATATTTAATGTGTTAGCATTAATTATGATGAGACTAACTTTGCTTTTCAGATATTAGTTTGAACCAAAAGCCTCTTGATTGGAATACAAGGATGAAAATTGCGGTAGGAGCAGCAAGAGGACTAGAATACTTGCACGAAAAAGCTAATCCTCCGGTGATTTACCGAGATTTTAAAGCCTCAAACATACTTTTAGACGAAAGCTTCAATGCAAAACTTTCTGATTTTGGCCTTGCCAAGCTAGGTCCTACCGGTGGCAAAAACCATGTTTCTACCCCAGTTATCGGAACCTATGGCTACTGTGCACCAGAGTATGCAGCCACGGGTCAGTTGAGTACAATGTCTGATGTATATAGTTTTGGCGTAGTGTTTTTGGAGATAATCACAGGTCGGAGAATCATTGACAATTCAAGACCAAGTGAAGAGCAAAACTTAATTACTTGGGTAATTGATCCTCTTCTTTTTCAGAACATTCATTTCTAAAGTGTGAAGACTTGCTAACGTCATTTTGTCCAAAAAATTAGTGAAAAGGGGGAACTTTTCTTACTCCAATTATAAATGATAACGTCTATGAACAATTTAACATTTTAGATGATGTGGTTCAACAAAACTTTCAATAATGTTCTCGTTCCATCTTTACTATGATGAAACCTTAGGTTGATGTTTATCACGAAATGGCAGGCACAACCTTTGTTCAAAGACAAGAAGAGTTTCCATTTGATGGCAGATCCATTACTCGGAGGAGACTACCCCGAAAAGGCACTCTACCAAGCTCTTGCAGTTGCAGCTATGTGCTTGCAAGAAGAAGCGACTATACGACCTTTGATCAGCGATGTGGTAACAGTTCTTGAGTATCTCTCTACGGACAAGAGTCAAAAGGAGTCTGAAGAAGACGATGACAAAGACAACAACGAAGACGATGACGAAGAGGAAGACAACGACGAAGAGGAAGAAAAAGAAGAAGAAGAAGAGGGATCCAGAAGGTCTAGTTAGCTGCAAATTTGAATGTCAAAGACATTGTATGCTAGAAATAGTCATTTCGTAGTTCTTTAAATTTCAAATATACATGAATCTCTCTACTTAATTTGATTATAGTAGGATTCATAGGATAACAAACAAAAATTAACGGAAAACACAAATAACCAATAAATTAAGAAATTGATAGAATTAAGCTCTCGTGACATGTCAACATTGACACAATTTATAGACCTTTCTCGTAACACACCTACAATCTCAATAAAAAAATATATTTAAAAATGAAGAGTTTAATCAAATTAAAAAACTTGATGGTGGTACTTCAAAAATCTCAAGAAATATTTAAAATCAAAGTGGGCCAACAACGTCAAGAAGAGCAGCTACAGCTTTCTCGAACCATGTGAATATCAGTGCTCTTTTCAAGATTCAGGTTTCCTCATCTTCATCTTCACTGTGAGGTTTTTGTTAAAAAGAATTTGACCCAAAAACAAAAACTAGGCAATTTTGCTGGTACATTTCTAACTCGATCTCTGTAAATTTTCTTTCTGGGTTTTCCATTTTTTTCTTGTTTTCTTAAATGTCAACCACTCTTATGCTATCCATCTGTTTTCCGAATAATTTTTTGTTATCTAGTTATGTACATTCTTGATGTTTCTTTTTCAAATTTTTTTTTTCCTTATGATGATTAGAATCTTGTTGATTTGATCTTATGTGTTTAATAAGTTGAGGGAAACGCTCGCTTTATGAATTAAAGAATGGTTTTTCTTTTTTCGTTTTCACTAAATTAAATTTTTCTGTAAGGAAATTGTTCATCAGACAGTTGAATTAAAACATTGGAGCAGTATTAGGTAACTGTGTTTTAATGGAATTTGTTCGATCGAAATCATTCACTGCTGCTAGGAACATCAACCAGCTCACTCTAATTATTATACAAGTTGCTGGGATTCTTAATTGCCTTAATGAGCATTTAAGCTCAAAGCATTTATTTGTAGTTAGTTTTGGTTGGGGTCATTTTCCTAATGGCCCGTGAATTGCTGGTATTGGAGGATTTTCTTTTCCTGTTTTTAATTCTAGTGTAAGAAAATGAAGTGAAAATCTTGTTCATTTGTACTGTCCTTGAGCCCTGTACACCCTTGCATACCAAACACACACTTACTGGATGTTCATATCATATGGCCCACATCTTTCAGTTTTACGCGTTCTGGAACTGTAAATTGTGCAACTCCCTTTCTTCTGAATATGTGTGACATGATTGTCACTAATGGAAACTTAGATTTACTAGTGAATGAATTACAACTAAAGTATAAGTTATTAGCTCTTTTTTTTTTTAAAGGCATGGACTATTATAGTTCTCGAGGCATTTAAAGTTCCCTTGTCCTGGCATGAAGGTTGTCAAGTTTTACCTTCTCAGATCTTGGAAGCATTGCATTGCACTATGAGTTTTTATTGTGGGTTCCAGACAGTGTATATTGTTAATACTTGTATCTAAGTTGGTATAGTTTGTACGTTCTCGCACACTCTCCACCCCACACGAAAGAAAAAAAGAATAAAAGTGTTTCAGTGAATTCAGTCGCTGCTTGGTTGATTCATTTGCTAGTATTTCATAACCTGAAGGTACTTGACCACTTTTGAGAATTTTGATGACAATTTAGACTCAAAATTTCGAAAAAGAAAATGAACACTAATGATAAACACATCAGTATTATCTACTTGCTGGAATTAAAATTAACTGTTTGGTGCTACTTCAATACAGGATATTGAATTGATTAAAGTCATTTTGATTTTGCTAAAAAGATAACACGAGGTTCTTTCTTAGAAGGATTCTTCTCGGATTTTACGCAAAGACTGCTAAAACTATGGTTCAGACACTAGAAGCTATCAAGGGTGGTGGAGGATCCATTAAAGTTGGAAGCACTGGAACAATCAGTGTCCTGATGTCGAGGGAATTAGAATCTAGTAATTCTGCTTCTCAAATGCCTGATTCACGTAGAAATAATTCTTTTCCGGCTTTTGTCACGTCCCCGACTGATGAAACTTCTTCTAGAAGACTGAAATCTAAAACACTGGTGAATGAAGCAAGTAGCAGTGACACCAGCAGTGTTAATCATAAAGTCCTTGAAACAACGACGAGGAAAAAGCATTACATGGGAAAAACTCATCAAATTCCGATGCTCAAAGCTGATAATATCTCAATAGACGGAACTCCTATTAGACCAAAACCCACAAAAAAGGGATCGGGCATGGTAGAAATTGTGGACATAAAATGTGGAAATCCAGACAGGACATGGGCAAGTCCTATTACAAATCGTCTTAAAAAGCTAAGTTTCTCGAAATTGTCCGAGAACACTGCCTAAATTTGAAGCCTTTTAAGATCCGTCTTCAGATTCCTGTAAGTGAATCCGGAAAATTGACTTGGCCGATTGCTTTCTGCTACTTCTACCATGGAACACATGCTTGGTATGAGCCTGGTGCTTCCCCGTTTCTTCTTTTTTGAAACTCCAACCAGTGACCCGAGCTCTGGTCCGGTAAACTCACTAGACGAAGCCGAGTCAGTAACCTGACGATGACTCTTGCTGAAGCTATTCCGACAGCCTAATTCAAGCTCGTTAAAGTACTTGATTTCTTGCATTATAAGGGATCCGACAGTGCCTCTGGTTCCTATTGCGACTGGTTTACATTTTGCAGCCATTTTCTCGCCAATGGCATCGTGTTTATGTAGAGTCTTTTGTAGAGGTTGAAGGGAGGTGGTTTTGTGTCTTGTCTTGGTGGGAGACTGACTTAAAATATGAGACATCTTTGTTAGATCCTAAGACCCTGTTCTTTTTACATGAATTCTTTACCTTATATTAATGTGGGGATTGGTTGTGGTCACTGGATTCATGTGCATTCAGTAAAAACAATTGAATTTGCTTTTATGTAGTCTATCTCCTAACTACTTGTGCATTCATTTTAATTTTGTATTAATTCTTGGTTGATCATTATTATTTATGAATTACCTACCCTAACATCACATAATGTGGCCTATTTGGAGCAAGTAGGTGATTTTAGGACCAGAAAAAGTTCTTTTTTCTGTCCTTAATGGCAAAAGAGTGTAAATGGTTGTTTGGTGAAGCAACTTGAATGCCTCTACTGGCTCCGTTTGTAAGTTAGACCGTACAATATTAGATAGCAAAATTTTCATTATTATAATGTATAATAATGAACACTCGATTTATTATGGTTTTTTATGAGTTTTCGGGCACTAAGGGTTGTGAATGAAATGCTGTTTTGGTTTTTAAAGGTTGATCATTGTCCTTGTAGTCATGGGAAACATATGATATTGTTACCCTAATCATGTGAACTCATGTCGTGATCATAATAAAGGAATTGCACCATTCTCATGAGTCAATGAGTGGCTCTAGTTCAACGTATTAAGAGGGTGTTTGGTGGAAATTAAAATTAGATTTTTAGTAAATTGTAATAGAAGTTTTTGAAATATGTGGTTGAACAGTTGTGAGACCTATGAAAGATGTGGTTAATATTGATTGTTTGTTTTTTGACTTGAATTAAAATCAGATTTTAATTCGGACTAAACAGAGACTAAATATGTTCTTAGTGTCAATTGTCAAAGTATAAATCGTATCCAATAACAAAGTGACTCAAATATCATTATCTTTATTAGGTTAAGTTTGAAGGATATAAATTGTAAAAACTCGTTCTGCTGTTATTTTTTTATTTTTTTTTGTGATACATCTATTATCTCTAAAATTGGTTGTGATTAAAAGATGATTTTATTTTTTAATTTTTTTTTAGTATCATGTTTCTAACTATTGTCCAAACATTTACGTTTTAACGACTTTTAAATAGAGAAAAGGTGTAATATTTATACATTGAGGACCACAACAAAACTCAACTAAACTTTTCTCATCATTTCCATATCAAACTTTTTTTCATGAATAAAAATTCATATGGGTTCTTAGATCAAAGTTCATAGGAATATTTACAAATCGTTGTTTGGGACCAATTCTATTCCTCTTATCAAACATATTCAGTTGGTACCACAAACATCATCCTTATCATCAAAAGTTGTACACATAATTTTGTTTACATTTAGTATCCTAACAACAACATTTATTTGTTAAAATTAAAGTCAGTAATTGGGTTGGTCGAAAGTTATATACTAATGTCCTCACAAGGGGTTGAGACGTGGAGACTCTTAAGAATAAATTAATAACTTTTGAAGAATCGAGATTCTATGCAAAGTTGAAAATATACAAGTATACCAAATCTCTATTGTTCCAAGATTTATACTATTCCTTTCAAGACTATACTATAATTAAATCGTTCGTATTTTTATTTTATTTTATTTCTAAAAAAGTAGTTTTTAAAAATTAGTTTATACACAGATCATTACCTAATGTATTCTTTTGGGAAATAAATTGATTTAAAAAGAAAAAGAGAAAGCAAATGGCAAAAAGTTGAGTGGGTAGAGAAGCTTGCTCTCTTCATATCAGAGCCAGGTTTCGATCCTGGGACCTGTGGGTTATGGGCCCACCACGCTTCCGCTGCGCCACTCTGATTTGTTGAAATTTATTTGCATCCAAATATATAAAAATGTTTAAGTCCCTATGAAATTGTATCCAAGGCGTCATTCCCCTCAAAACCCAACGACGTTCCTCCTTAAAAAAGTTACTAATGATCCTAATTCCTCTCTGGGTTTCCAAAACCTAGAATAATTTTAGGATTATGCAAAATTACAAAAAAAAAACACTTGGACCAAGCTCTGGTGCAAGAGCCACTTATTGGTTTAGGTCCAACAAGTAATAGTGTTGATTCTGAAAGTGTTAGAATTAAGGGGTACTTGTTAAAATGACCCAG